CAAGAGCAAAACCACCAAGAGATTTACATGAACAGGATGACTTGGAAGAGTAAAACAGAGAGCTCTAATTTCAATAACAAGCTATTGGAAATCTGACATAGGGTGCTGGCAGAGCCAGTGAAGAGCCAGGCACGTCTGACCTGGGAGCAGTGACTTGGGAGGCCAGAAAACCACTTACTCATTTTCACATGACAGGATCAAGCTTGTGAAGAACATTCAATTCTCTTGAAACTGAAGGAGGATTTCAGAGAAGTAATTAGGAGCAGCTTAGCTTGTGGTTAACACCAGCGCTGGGAATTAGAAAGCAAGAAATTCAGCTCAGGACATATTTCCTGCCTTTGCTGCATGATCAAATTGAAGTTACTTAACTTTTCCCTACCTCCGTCTTCCCAGCTGTAAAATGAGGGTGCTAACAAAGAGCCACCTTTGTGGAGAGCCTTGGGAATCCATCAACACAAGATGCTTTAAGAGTAACGAAGTCTGCATGACATTGTAGAACCCGACACAACAGACTCTGAGGGTCAGTCAGACAGAAACACAGTGAGATAGAAATAACTCAAAATGAGCTCCTTTTTCTTCCAACCCAACACTTCCAAGCATGTCCTGATCCAGAAACAGTGGCTGAGTTGACAGATACATTCTCAAAGTAATTTACCTCTTTCTTGCTGCCACTAACACTGGTTACCCAAATTCAGTTGACAGTTTAATGATAACAGCTTTAGGTTTATATGTTCCTACGTTCTTTAAATTCACTCCCTGGAAAAGGGGTATTTTAATGTATGCAGCCACAGAGCAAAATGACAGTAATCTTGCCTTCTAGTTGGAGTGGTTTAGTAAACAATTACGCTTCAATTAAAGATGGGGTGATCACACTGAGGGAAGCACCACTCAGTTTTCTAAAGGAAAACTATTATAATGCAATTTATATGACTGCTTTTGGGGAATAAAAGAGGGAAATGGTGTAGATTATGTGCAGGCAAAATCTTGGGAAAAAATCCTTTGCTATCTTGTCCACAGCAGCTTGAACCAGGATCCCATTATTTGGGATTATGTTCAGTGGAGAGGACTGCTAAAGGGTCACTCACTTTCATCTCTCCAGGAGTTTCCATTTGCTGGTATGTCATTAGTATTTAATACTTCATCTATCAAGGATTAAAAACAGGAGAGATGGAGGAATGCCTTAAGAGTAGTTTATAATGTATCACTGTAAATTCTGCTGTGTACCCAACCCAAACAGGCAGAAAATCTGCTGGGAAACAAGTTCACATTCCAAGCAGAAGACTAACTAAAACCTAAAATGATTTCCTATTTCTTTGCTGCTATAAAACCTCATTATTGAAGGGCCTGAAAGCAGCACAAGGACTGAGCCACAAAGGGAAGCTCCTGCTGCAGGACATCACACTGAGGTGCACAACAGACAAGAAGCAGATAATGGAGGAACATGAGAGAATGAGGAGATGATACTCCTTGTCATGACTGACGATGAGCCAGTGAAGAGGGTTTATACCACTGGGTTTGGCCTTTGCATCTTCTCTGAGAACTGTTGCTCTTCCAATCCAGCTCACACCATCCATCAGTGGACAGCCTGAGCACGCAGCTTGTACCTGCGGTGTGTCTGGGTTTTGTTTTGCTGATGGGTTTTTGTAGCCGATGTGGCTTCCAGCAGAAGCAGCACAGAAGTGTTTCCTGAGATCCTGGAAAGCAAATGATTGATACCAGAACTGAGGATTAAAGGTCTGGAGAGAAGGAAATCCTAAACTCCATCCAGCATTTCAGGGTAAGAGAGAGTGCACAGATGCTTCCTCAGACACAGCTCTGTAAGAAAGGCAGAGACCCATTCGAGCTGTTTAAAAACATTCAGACTACACACGTTAATGCTCTCTGTTTGGAAGGATTCTCCTTGCCCAGTCAGTGAGGTAGACGAACAGCCAGAAATCATTCTGGTTTCGTGATCCAGTCCCTCAGTCCAACTCTTCTGCACAAGTCCTTTGGCAATCTGGACTTCTGCTTGGCCAAGGATAACTGCAGAGCGAGCTAAATAAATCAGGCTTTAAAAAAAGCAGTCAATAGATGGCAGTACTCTAATGAGATGGGAGAGAAGTCATCCCACAGCAAGTCTCAGCAATCCCACCCTTGCTCTGATTCCCCTGCAAGGTGGGCAGAGCAAGAGGATTTAATTAATACCCAGCAGAGTTTCTCATCTTCTGGTGCCTGTGTTTGATAAAACACAACACATGCTTCAGGATTAACCCAGCTCACACCTTAAGCTATTTGGATTCGATGCAGAGAGGCTAAAAGCTTCTCTGTATTCTCCTGAAAGGTAAACATCAGTCAACAGGGAGGCTTTACTGATTGTCCCTTGGGCATGGAGGAGAGTCCAGCACTTGCCCTTGGTTCCACTGATGTCTACAGCTCTTGAGCATTATCAGCTCCTGCCAATTATCCATTCTCAGGGCACACAACTCTGGGTGACTACCTAAGAAGGCAACATTTAACTGACATCTCTCACTAAGTCAAGCCTCTGTCTTCCTTTTTCTATCCTTAGATATTGACTTTTACTGAAGCACTTGTTAATTAGGTCTCTTCCTTCAAGAGATGGAATCATGAAAAGGACAGGTCCCAACAACACCATTTAACTCTGAAGATTTCTCCTGCAAACATGTGCATCTCTTCCATAAATGTATGAGATACAATGAATTCATTAGAACCAGAAGTTCCCTGCTTATATGGAAGTTTTATACTGACAGGCACCAAATCTACTCATTTAGGCACTAATGCAGCAGTCAGAAAGGTTTCCTCTAGTCCACACAAAGCAACTGGGAGCGCAACACTCAAAATAGCTGAATCCAATGGCTCCTGAGCTTACGGCTCCCTTGGAGGCTCAGAGGCAGAAGGATGGAGATGTCAGGGAAGAACAATCAGCTGTAAAATATGAAAAGCTTACGACATCAAAACCTACAACAGCAGGCTCCAAAGTAATAATCCCATTACCACTAAACTAAAGCACTAATTACTATTCCCAGTGGCTGGAGTGGACTGACTGCTAATGTTGCTCTGGTTAATGAAGGAAGGTGAGGGAGAATATATTTCTAAAGTCAGACATCTGCTGAAATCTGGGCAGCCATAAAAACTGTATGTAATGAAGCCATTCATATTAATGGCAATAACATTCAGAGGGCTGAGCAGGAACAGAAATGAGATGATAGTGGATTGTAACTCACGGAAGACAAATGCTATGTATTATCCATGTGAATAACATTATCCATACTGAATAACAGAGCCAGTCAAAGCAAGCAACCACATTCCACATAGGCTGTTTCACTATTCAGAGCTAACCTGCTTAAAGACAGGACTAACATCTCTAAAAACACAGAGGAGGATATATGCCATTGGGAAAGGAATAAACAACGTTTTATTTTCACTGACTACAAGTACACTAAGAAAAATACTTCCAAATCCTCTGTCTTGTGAAGAATCCAGATTTTTCCTCTATTCTTTCCCTCTTTCATCAACAAGCAGTACATGGTTTAAGGTTCAATGATACACGTTGACTAAGATGGATAGGTTGTGATAAATGCAAAGCATGCAGCAGAAGCCTACCCAAGCAGCTTTACTGTGTGTCTGCCTGCTATGCTGAGTTTTGGAGCATATGTAACTGATAATCAATTCAGAGAGAGGGTGTATGGCTTGTGGACCAAGGGGGTTAGGAAAGAAGATTATTTTCCCTCTTGGCATTGAAAAAGATGCACCTTGCTTAGCAAAAAGGGTGATGGCACAAGAGGAATCAAACCAAAAGATGATCCCTCTCTGCTTTCACCTGATACAACAGGGAGCTCTTAGGAGAATAACTTTCATCCACTCCAGGAGAAGAAAAGCAAACACAACCCTGCAACAAATGCTTAAACACATCTCATACCCCATTGTTTTTCTGTTTCATTGTCTTCAGTCTTCGCCACATACTGTACCCACTCCAACACAGAACTTGGCTCCTGCCATCCACTCACTTTTGTCATTACTTCACTATTCAAATAAGACAGCACCAAAACCCACACTCTCATATTTTTGGTAGGTGTTTGCATATCATGGCTACAGAGTTCACCTCCACAGAGAATGTGAGGCATGCACAAACTTCAGGGCTTACAGAACTAAAGTAAACTCCTTGAACAAACTGCTGTTGATGATTCATTCACCCGTGCAAACGCTCTCAGGTGAACTGGGTGTGCTCAGATTTAGTTTAGATTGCACCATTGTCTTCCCTTGGAAATTCTGGTTCTACCTATCCAGGTTTGTTATGGAGTGCCTGAGCCAGGAAGGCAGGTGTGGCCTGCAGAGAAAACCCACATCCAGCAAAGCACCTCCAAGGCTGCTTCTTTGAATAAAAACACCTCTGTGCAACCTTACTGTACACATAGAGCAGACACTTTCCTCTTGACAACATGAGCTTCTGATTGCCTTGGCTGTCGCTCAGGCTGGGTACAGCCACCTCCAGCTGTGTGTAGTTTATGCTAGGACTTATGTTTTTAAACCTCCAACTAGATTTCTCTCTTACTGTTACAGGAGGTTACCTTAAATGTTACCCAAGAGACCTTGGTAACTTCAACTGATTACAAAGCATCCCAAGACTCTATTGCATTAACTGGAAATATGTCCAGGCTGATGATACATTAGAATATACTCTCTGTAGGAGTATGAGGACATCCTGTATGGTTACAGATCAGTTAATATACCCAGGAATACACTGCACTACCCTAGGATTCACAAAGGGAACCTCACCAGGAAAGTCTTCCAAGTGAACAACCTACCAAAACCTGTTCCAGATTCATATCCAAATCCTGTTGCTTTACCAAGAAACACTTTACAGTTGCTTGTTGCTGGCAGTATCTAACCCCACCACATGTACTGTGAAGTAAGCTACCAAGAAGGTTCACACACACCACCTCTCTCTTCCCTTCCAGCAACACACCCCCCCCCCAACCTCTGGGATGGGGCCAGACACGTACCGTGACGCGGAAGGGCGTTGTGGCAGCGGGCTCCATGGTGGGGTTCTTCTCGGTGACCCCGCTGGGCATGCTGCGCCTCTGCCCGCACCGCTCCGGGGGGGACTCTGCGGATGGAACACAAACCAAAGGACAATTACAAACACAGGAGCACAGGAGGAGCCCAGGAACACCAGCAGGCCATGCAAAACGGGGCTTCTTCCTTGGAGATGCTCTTGCAAATGAGCCAACACAACAACCCCACTGTTGCCCACAGAACGGCGTTCAATCAGCAAGACCTTCTACAATTAGCATTTTTTCTACAACTGTAAGCTCCAGATAATGCCTGACAGGTTGGCATTATCATTACTTCCACTCTGCAGATAGGCAAACAGAAAATGGATTGAGCTGAGTGAGAATTATATGCAAAGTACAGATCTGTGCACTTGTGGACTTGGTACTCCTAAGGGAAGCTGCTAATGGGGTTACAGGCACAGGATGCTGAAGTTGCCTCTCTAATTCCTCCAGCAATTTGCTTTGTAACTAGGAAAAATTGTTAAACCCTGCATTTCTGAAAGTATAAAATGTGGATACTTACCTCCTTCCCTGCAGGTGAGGAAGGGAGGGAGCTGGAAAGGCTAAATTAGCAAACATGCCTAACACTGAGAAGATTTAGAACAATATTAGCTAAGGTCAGCAGCAGTATTATGAGCTGGTGTCTCCTTGGTTCACAAACCCTCTTTGAAAGCACCATGGAACTCATAAAAACAGATGGATTTCCAAGCTGCCATTCCATGGTGCTCAGACCTGGTAACAAGCTTCTTTCTCAAACCATGCCAATCCCAAGCCTCCGCAATCTGCAGTTTGCTGTCACCAGGTCTTGGCAAGGAGGGCTGTCCCCTTAGTGAGGTTCTCCCCTTGCCAAAACTGCCATCACCCGGTATCCATGAGGAACAACTAATACCTGCAATTCCACTCAACAGGTCCTGAGACATATCTGAAACTGTTCCACAAGGACAGACTGTGAGATTCCACCCATGGACTGGGCAAAGTGCTCAGTGACATCTTCCTTGGTTGCAAACCCTGCCCATAATCCCTCACCAGCAGCCACGCACCCTGTGTGAACACCAGACAGCCAAAACCAGCAGTTCATAATGGCTTTCACAACTTCCAGCCAAGCCTTCTAATGTCTTGGCCACTTTCTTTGCAGAATGCTGCTCTTTGAACCTCAAGAAGGCAATAAATCCTTCACACGTCAGCTCCTTTCACACTTGGCCTCCTTTGAACAGTGGCCACTTTTATTTTTGGACTGTCATAAACCCCTACTTGATTACAGCATTTTGAAAGTGAGCTGGAGATGACAAAACAACTGAAGAAGCTGCTTTGCATTTGCCTAACGACTAGAAAAATAAACACTGTTGAAAGCATTTCTCATATACATGGCTGGAAAACAGGAACCATGGGGTGAGGTGAAAAGTAGCTGCAAGAAATGCCTTTCCCAGGGGCCTGCAGCACAGTCCTGCAGCTTTCTTCCTCAACCCAACACACCTTTTGCCTTCAGCACAGAGGGCAGGTACTCACTCACTCTCCGTGTAGGTGTTACAGCAATATGGGTTTGCACCACTGTGGTTTGCCAGAGCAAAGTGCACAATGGTCTCACTTTCAGTGATGTCCCAATCTCCTTCCTCCTCCTACCACAGAGGTCAGGGAAAGGGAGAGTGTGTTATGGCCCAGAGCTGATCAGTATCTGGGTCTGACTGCACCAAAGTCACAAACCGTACTCTTCAATTCTTCATTGTTTATAATTACCAAAAGCTGAGCAGCAAACACATCAGTCTGAGCCAGACCAAAACAGATGATGGGCTAGAACCTAAAGCTCTCTATCAGCCTTAAGTTTATGGTTCATCAAGTGGAGTCAAACCTCCATTTAGCTTAGTTCAGGTAGTGTGGGTATTGCTGGAGAGGGGAATCTCTGCAGGAGAGACACATTACAAAGCTCCTTAGAAGGAACCAGGAATATCTCGCAGGAGGGTTGGGTGTGGGAGTTTGGGGCGGGGAGGGGGGAGATGTTTGTTTTAAAGGGAAGTAAAAATAGCTTACAGGTAAATGAGTAACTCCTAACTACCAGAAGGGTACAGCAGAACAGTTTTACATAGTGAATAGCATGAATACATGAAGGTTTGTACTGCCCTGTTTACTTCCTCAGGGTTAGAGGAGAGGTCTTAGGCTGGGTTACTCTGCCTGGAGATGGGCATTAGCCATGTCTGCATTGTAGCAAGCCCCCACATAACAGGTCACTGTAAGGCAACAGTTAAGACTCTCTCCATAGCCACTAGAAGCTGAAAAAGAATGGCTAACCATTTACAGCAGAAGATATTTAGGTTGGCCATTGGAAGAGGTCATCTCTTGACACGTTATACACTGGAACTGATCTTCTGGAGAGAGTAATGGGTGCTCAAGCCTACCTCAAAGGCTCCTGTGGCAGAGCTCTCCCTGTCAGGAGAGGTTCAGGTACAATGAGCTTCCTCCCTCCCCTCTTCTGGGGCAGATGGGACCAGATGATCTGATACCAGATTCAGTCCCTGACTTCAGCCTTTTCCTCACAACCTCTGATGCTCCTTCCTCCTGTCCTCAACTCTACTTCTGGACAGACTCTATAGCAGCCGATCACACCCTCAACAGCACAAAGAGTCCAGGGTCCTACCCTGACCTCTGTTCCACACTACAGTGTGACCCTTTGACATTTTAATGCTCTTCATGAGATTCACAATTGATAAAAACCCGGCAAACCCCATGGGAACACTGCAAGGTTTCATTACTGAATACCTGCAATCCACTTTGTATCCCAAGATAAAGGATTCCAGAACGAGGAACAGAATTACCACAGGCAGCTAACCACAGAATGACATTTCCAGAAGCACTTAGTATTATCAGATAACATCCTCACTAGACAGTGAGTTTCTCTGTTAGCTTAATATCATCCCTCGGCTCATAGAAATTCCAGGATTATACCTTCATTTGTCCATTTATTTGCTCTGTATCAGATTTGATCTGAGGACTCAGACACACAGTGTCTAAGGGCACTATTTGCTCTCCCAAAGTCCTCAACTTGTTATGAACTTAAACCCTCCAAATCTTTCTTTTATGACACAGAGGCCTGAAAATCACTGAAGTAACAGTCTATTAAATGAGGATTATAGTGCAGGAATACCGGATCCGAAAACGAATTCCTTGGGTGTAGTGCGGAAAGCCATAGCACCCACAGCAGAGATGCCAGCATGCAGGAACAAATACCCACAGACAGTGATAGCTTCCTGGTTCCCTGCCACTTGCACCAGCCCATAACACAACACCCAAACAAAGGATGGGCTGTATACAGATGAACAGTATGAAGCTGATGGACAGTTGAATCAGGGAGACCCACATAAATATATTACCTGGCCCTTTAGGAGCTCTTAAAAAGCTCAGATTTGGGCTGGAAAAAGTTCATAAGTCACACTGAGGAGCACCATGGCCACTCTGACTGAAATTCCTTGTTTAATTTTCTCCTGACAGCATTTTCCCTGTACTTCCCTAAGCCTGTCCAATGCTATCCAGGCATTTCCACTCACCCTCCCTTTGACCACTGCAGAACCATGCCCCTGAGGAGCCCCCCAGTTCTCTTCCATGACCATCTTCTGGACCTCTGCACAAGCAGCACTGCTCAGTGTCTGCCACAGTGCCACACTGGGCTGGGGCTCATCTACCTCACGCAGTCCCAGAAGCAAGAACAAACCAACCCAAGCGGTTCCTGCTCCCCCAGATAGTTACAGAAGGCTGCAGTGCTTTGGCTTTTCCCCAGCGCAGGATAAGATCTTCAGAGAGAAACTTCCTTGAAGTTATGAACCCCCTGGAACCTCTCCCCAGTCACCACACAGAGCTGGGTCCAAAAGCTGCTTGGGGTGTAACGCACCAGGATGGTTTTTTAAGCCATCAGGACACACAGCACTGTAAACAGGGCACCTTAATGCAGCACCTGGCAGGGCTCACGAGCATTCCTGAAACTGTTTCTGGACAGTGAGAAACACATTTGATTTGTTAACGACTTCACGGCACCCGATCTGACAGAACAATTCATCCTGGTGACACTCCTCCATGCCTGTTCTTCATGCTGTGGAATAGCTGCAGAGCAGCCCCAAGGCTCCCAGGCCATCGGCAGCAGAACAGCCTGTGAGGAGCTCCTGGCACCAAAGCTCTTGTTTTAACCCACTCAGCATCGCTGCCTTCCTTGTTGCAACTTCTTCAACACTGCTACAGAGCAGGTCATCGTGTGTAACAAACACACAAACAAGTATTACTACTGTTTACTTTGCACTTAGCAACTGAGATGCTTCACATTTGCATTACCTGCTCTTGTGAATCACAGCTAGTCCAAAAGACCATCAGGATTACGCTCTCATTAGTGGGAATGAATTACATTAACTCCTGTTTGTTCATCTTACTTCACACTCTCCCCCTCTCCTGCTCTCCTCTCACACACAATTCCAGGGATCACCATGTGGAAGAGACAGTATGAACAAAAGCAGAGAGAACCAGCTGGAAGGAATAACTAACAAGCAGGCACTTCCCACCAAGTTGATTTTCTGCTACGAAACTGTTCCAACTCCAGCCAAGAAAAGGAGGTACAAATCTGAACAAGAGAAGTTAGCAACAAGAAAGCATCTCCCTCAACTCACCAAAAGGAAGCCGTGCTTGTCAGCAACACACATGCCATGGCACTCCGAGCCAGCCAGGAATAAGAGAAGTAGAGATGATGACTTCATCAGAGGCAGCAAGAAAGAGAAGTATGCCTGGAATGCTGGACAGGCCAGCAGCAGGAGGCCAGGTCCCTGCCCCGTGGCGCAGGGACGTGCTTAAGGAAAGGAGACTTTAGAGGACAAGACTTCCCCAGGACGTCTGGAGGTAATGCAGAACACTAAGAGCTCATCACAACCCACAGCTGGTGGAGAGGATCCTGCAGGAGCCCTGGGAGAGGTGAGGCTGGCTCTGGAGCTCAGCAGCGATCTGCCAATGGAGTTGTGCTCCTCCCTGTCCTGCCCCGTGCACCGGGTTAGTGCTTGACATCTCGGAGCCTGCCAGGGTGGAGTTT